ATTAATAGCTCCACTAAATCAGCCCCAAACTTCTCCCTATTGCTGCCCCCTCAACCTCTAATGGAATTAATTTGAAATCTTCAAATTTATTCCCTCCCACCCAAATAAAACTGAAAAATCTCAAATAAAACTGAAATAATTTCAGATTTTTCAGTTTTACTTCTTGGAGCCTCTCTCTAGCCAATCCTCTCAAGTACCCAAGCCAATCCAACCCTCCTCCTCCAACCCGCCACCTCCTCTCTCCCTCTTCCCCTTTTGGTGTTTCTTTCTCTTCCGGTAAGGATGCATGGCGGATCCTGAGATTGAGAGTGGATTGGTATTCGACGTCTACGGAGACATTCATATCACCCATTCACCGTTCTTCGACGTCTGGTTTGGCTCAGACGATACTGTTGAAGACTATTTGAATCACATCCTTCCCACTCTTGTGGACGTCATAGACGATCAATTCCAGGACTACAATTGGACCATCAACGACCATCCACCCGTTTCTCCACCTCCGTCTCCGCCGCATCCCTCGCCATCACTACGGATCGTCTGCGCCGTCTACCTTGGAGTGATTTCATTTCTTGTATGGTTCCTCTTCCTCCGACAACCCTAGACGTAGAAGAGTGACTTTGAGCCTCAAGGTGAGACGATCGATTTGTTAACCGTCGGATTCTAGTTGACTGATCATTTCATTGCTTTTGTTTAAGTTGTTATTTTAAAGAACTTGCAAATTTAGTTGTGATGGATTGCCTAAGTATTGTTTACTTCTAAGATCTTTCTTGAGTTTTCAATTTTGAGAAGCTTTAAGATTATTTTTATCATTGCTCCAGCAAACTTTATTAATCTCTAAGAAAACAATTCCTGGTTTCACATCAGGCTCTCTCTATGTCGCACTTTATACAATCCAAGGTTCAAGAGATGGCTCTCATGATGTAGCACCTGATCCCGTATGATACATAGTTCACATGTCTCTGGTAGCTTATTACTCTAATCTTGTTTGTAACAATCTAAGCTCTTAACTGTTGAGATATTTATTTACTTTGCCCTAATGTCTCTATGATTTTGTCCCATTGTTATAAATTCTTGAGAGGTTATTCATTTTAGGAGTATCTCTACGAGCACGCTTAATGTTAGAGTTTTTGATGAAATTTCAATCATTATACCAAAAGACACCTCAATGTTTGAGAATTGTGCTTCACTCTACTTAAGAGGTTTCTCATAAATGATTATAGCACGCCCAACGATCAGAAGACACACCTTCAGGAGATCATATGTTAGGAGTTAAATACAAGTTGATCTGCTCAAATTGTTGAGCTTGTCATATGCATGCTCTAGGTAGGGGTGGAAAACTAAGGGATTGCATTGGGTGACATAACACTTCTCGTAGATGGGGATCCCTTATGTGCACTACTGCACTGTAAGGAGACAAAGGGAGGTGCTTGGCTTCGTGCCCAGAGGATTTTATCATCTTTCTACCAAAAAATGTGAAGGAGGATGTTGGCATCTAAAACTTCTTGGGTATGAGCCTTTGAATATGTCATATATATATATATATATATATATATTATGTTTGTGTGTGTGTGGACTGTGGAGAAATGAGTCTGCCTTATTCATAAAATGTCAGAAAATGTAAAAGAAAATTAAATTAAAGAAATTATACATTATGACTTGTTGTATGTTGAAATCATTAGAATCTAGGAAATGTCTATGATATGTATATATTATTATTCTGAGTGATAACTATAAGTCCATTCATCTAGATTGGTCTTAATTGGGTTGAGTTATCGAATTGGGTTGTGCCACTAAATCTATAATTATATTTATGTAATAAATATTATAATTTCTAATGATTTTTTATTGATGATATTGTTTGGTTCAAGTCGAGCCGAGTCATTAAATTAGACAAATGTTGACATTTAAAAAATGCAGAGATTCATATGAATACATATGCTATAAAATGTTGAAAATGCTCATCCTGAAATATATAAATACACCATATTTCTACCCATTCTTAATGCATATTAGAAAATAGAAATCCATAATTCACATAGTATTTTTGAGTTTTGATCGAACGTTGGGTGCCAATCGGCAGTCTCAGGTTCATTAGCCACTCAGACTTCCCTCATGACAAGAGGATGGTTATGTCGACCACCTTCCAATGACCAAATGCCATTGTCCAACATCCACCAACCATGGACATTCAAGTTGCCTTGTCTTTGCTGGGTATGTTGCTTATGAATGAGTATGTTTCCATATCACAATTAAGGTTTTATTTGGGACGGCTTTCTTGCTGCTTCTTAAAGCAACTTTCTAGTTCAATAATTAAAATTTTTGTACTAGAAAGATGCTTTAAGAAGTAACAAGAAAGTCATCCCAAACGAAGCCTAAGTAAAACTTGTTTTTCATTTCTTTAGTAGGAAAGTACGTGTGCTACAAGTAACTGTTAATGCAATTACATATTTAGTGAAAGACAATGTATGAGATGCCTAGATGTCACTGTCAGTTCAATTGCAAATCATGTGAAAGTAAACATCCAAGTTGCCTTGTCTTTGCTGGCTTTATACTTGTAATTAGGAAGCATGTTTTTATCGTTTAAATCACCATTAGTTTTGAATATGTTCCATCTCGTTACTTTGTCTAGTTGATTGTAAATTGTTATCCTTCCCTCATTAATTTTGTATTCTGCTTGAATTTCCAAAAA